AGAGACAGATTGGTGGCACAGAAGGACCCCATGTGCTGTCACGGAGAACATCTATCTTAAAGGGGTTGCTCAGTCCATTACTACACCCAGCATTTCCCTCCCAGGGGGACTTCAAATGTCATCTAACAGTATAATCCAGTCGGGACTTGTCTGATAAGTCTGCGAGCTGTCATGTCAAGTCATTTGTCACTCAGCTTTCAAATGGACCTGGACAAGAAACCTGTCTTCCTCCTGCCCTCCCTGTGAATATGCCATTCCTAGCTAGCACAGGAGTGGGCCCCATAAAATGGGAAATTGGCTTTTTAGGGGAGCAAGGGGAGGGAAGGAGCTGCTCCTTCTGCATGCAGCAAGGTTTTCCTGTTACAGCTCCCCTGCCGATTTGCTCCTGTTTGGTTTGGAGCCATGATGTGCTGTTGGAGAAATACAGCCTTGTGTTTTTCAGACAACGTGTCCTTCCAGGTGGCACTTGGCCCAGTAAAGCTGCCACAGTGTTGTAACCAGAGAGTACTGCAATGTCCTGGAGAGAGTCTGCTGTTGTTCTCCCACACGTGTATTTGGGAAGAACCAAGGACCTTGATTCGTATCAGTCCTTAATAACAGGGAAAAAACCTTTGGGGTTGGAAATTCACGTCATTTCCCTGATCTCAACATGGCTGTTCTCCTGGACTCTTCCTTGCTCTGAAAAGTGCTTTGCTGTCTTCGCTCATGGGACTTACAATTTGTCACCCAGCTGAGATGCTGGAGCTGTGATGGAGAGCAAGGTCAGTGCTGCCTCTAAAATGCTCCTGAGAGCCTGCAGGTAGTGAGCACCTCAAGATTGTGGATTCTGCTAGGAGAAACCAACCTTTGGACAACCCTCCAGGAGCGGGTGGATCCAGCTCCAAGCTGTTCATGTGGCTTGAGGGTCTTTCAGATACATGGACAACATGTCAGTGGTCCATCAGGGTTTCCACAGTAAAATCTGACATTGAGAGAGGCCTCCAGGTTGATGTAGGTTCTATGCATCACTCCAAGTAGCTCTGGTTGCTTCCTTGTCTCCCTGTGTCTGGGGCAAGACATGCTTCAGTCATCCTGTCTTGGTGCCATGTATACTTTTTGGACAGCCTTCCTCTCAGGCATGGACATGAGGACATGAATATTTGTCTCCCCATCCTCTAGCCTGAGGCCAGCTCTTGCTGTCTTTCTGTGGTTGTTCTGGCAGGACTCTGGTGTCCTGAACATAAAGAATCTATGCTCAGGCTCCTGAGCCTGTTCTGGTTTTGTTTTTGTTTTGTGTTTTTTTTAACACTTTAATCAAATAACACTGAAATGGGAGTTGAATTCTGGTCTGTCCCAACTGCCTGTTTGGGTGTCCACAAAGTAAAGTCCCGCAGAACACAGCAAGGTACGGGGAGAGGCAGGTGAGGATGGGGAGTCTCAGGAACATCATGTCCAGAGGTGCTCTACCATTGGCCAATGTTTCCAGCACAGAAATGTGTGCAATTAGCTGGTAGCACATGTGGCATCAGTGCCGTGCACCCCAGCCATGCATGCCCAGGCGTGCTGTGTGTGCCTCCTCCCCGACACGGGCACAGCCCTCCGGCTTTGCTCGTGTTGGGTAACTTGGTCAGAGGCTCCCGGCTGTTCCCCAATCCTTGCCATGCATGGAAATCCCTTGTCCTGGCTTCTCATGGGGTCTGGTGCCAGGGCAGAGCTGCTGCTGCTGTTCCCACAATGTGTCGCAGGTCTGCCAAGCCCAGGCAGGCACCTGGGGTCATGTGGGTTTTGCTGTAAAGGGAAATCTCAGCTAAAGGCTGATGTGACCAAACGTATGAGATGTGGTTGTACCTGAGACTTGGCTCATGACTCCGTAGTTATGGTCCACAACCTCCTTTCCTCCTCATGACACTACAGCCAGGGCTTTTCCTGGGCTGTGAATGCACCATCACCTCCTGAGCCTTTCACCCCTTCTTTCTCCATCTGCTTCATCCCCTCTGCAATTCAATATATAAATCCCCCACCCCTGTAGCAATGAGGAGGGCAGGGATCTGGCTGCATCCCTCACCCTGCTCCCTGTCCTTCAGGTTTGCCCAAGAGAAGATGTGCTCAGGTCCAAAGAAGGGGAATTTTCAGAGCCTTTCTGTTGACCTGTAGCCAGGAGAGAGCTGCCAAGGAGGCCAAGCTGAAACCCGAGCGGCTGTTTTCCCCGAGACTCAGCACTTGGCAGGGAGAGCAGACGGACAAGTGGCGGAGCGGGGAGGGCTGCGAGCGCCCGGGAGGCAGAGCTGCCCCTGCAGTGCCCACGCGAGGTGCCTGGGAAAGGCACGCTGCCTTACCTGCCTGCCTCTGGGGATTCATCTCCATGTGCTCCTTGCCTGAGATCAGGAGGAGAGCCGGGAGGAGGCTGTGGTCATCGCCCACCTTCTGTCCTTACGTGTGGCTCTAACCTCGGTCACCCGCTTTGTGCCACGTGCTGAGCATCTCCTTCGGCAGGGACGAGCGATGCCTGGCTTTCCCCTCGCGTTGCTCAGGGAGGTCAGGAGATGGTCCAAGTGTCCCTGTGGTCTCAGCCACCGTGGGGTTCAGCTGAGCCAGCCCAGTCAGCCGAGCTCGCCCTGCCTGGACCTTCTTTCCCTTTATAGCTCAGCGTTATCTCAAGGTCCCTGGCGCTGCAGCCGGCGCCGTGTTTGCCTTGCCTCTCAGCACCTGCCTGCCAGCCGGTCGCTTCCCACCCATCTCCCTCCTGCTCCTGCACGTTAGTGGGAGGCTCAGGGGGCTGTGGGAGCCCTTGGTGTCAGGGGGACCCCTCCACGGGGCTGCGAGCCCCCGGGGAGTGAGGACAGTGGGCAGCAGCAAAGTTTCCCAGTGTGGGATGGTGGGAGAGATGCCTGGGGGCATCTGTCCCACCACCTTTGCTTCTCCATCCTCATCAGCCTTGCTGCTGGGGCAGGATTGGGTGTTATATCAAGCTGGGGACCAGGGCACTGTCCCAGCCTGGGTCTCTGTTGCCAGGACTGGTGCTGGATGCCTCGCTGAGCCACCGTGCCCTGCCCTGTCCAGGCAGCATCAGCCCCTCCAGCTGTGGGGAGTGCCAAGTCTTCGTCCAGAGCTGGGATGCTGTTAAAAATAGATCAGTCATGAACTGGTTTTCTCCTCCTTGGTTCCTGGCCCGAGCGCTCATTCCTCTCTCTGGGCTGGCTTTGAAGCTCTCTGGATGCTGCGAGACGCCGGCTGCATGCCAGCCTGCCATTGCAGGGAGGCTTGGAGAGCAGAGAGCTCCAGAAACGTTATAGGTGGCATAGCTGGCCCCAGAATATTTAGTGGTTAGGGAGTGCTTTCTCTCCCCAGAAAGCATTGCTGGAGAAAGTATCTGCTAAATAAATGGGAAACAAAGCTGGCATAGGAGGGGCTGTTTGCTCCTCCGCTTGCACGTGGTGCTCGTGTGAGGGGCCACAGGCACCCAAGCACTCCTGGCCACAAAGTGATGCTCGCCTTAGCCCCACAGCTTCCTAGAGAACGCCTGCTGGGCTGCAGCCTCCCCTCGGCCCCACTGCCTGCAGCAATCCCACTGCCCCTCCGGCACAGGGCCCTGCAGGGGCTCCCAAATGCTGCTGCGGAGCCCCCGCATCCGGGGCTGGCTGGGCTGCACACACTGCCCGGGAAAAGCACAGCTCCCTCGCTTTGAGACTGGTGTTCTGCATCCCAGTTTTCACTTGTAGCCCTTTTCTATCCTTCTAATTCTTCAATATCATTTTTCAGGTGCGAACACTGAATCTGCAAACAGTTTTAAGATGCAGCTGTGAAACCTATTATCAGCATCCCTGCTATCAAATACATGAGGCTCAGGGCTGCACGTAGCCGCTGAGCAATTAAGTGGCACCCCTGGTGATGAATTACAACTGAGACCTCCTGGGGTTAAATAAATACCAGCTGATAGCTGCCGATAAAATGAATTTCTGTGTGCTTTTTTTCAAAAGCACCCTTCCAGTATCTGTGCCCAGTCATAGCACTGCACGTCTCCCAGGGGAAGCCACATGAACTGTGGCATTTCCCCCCCAGCACCTTGGGTTTCCAACCAGAGCTGGACGAAAAATAAACCAAATAAATAAACCCATGTCCCTGCAGGATCCAGGCAAGGGCAAGGAAAAGCAAGTGGCAAACTGAGGTTCTGGGTAAACCAGTATAAATATCATTTCCCCCAGCTATCCCACCTCAAATGCATGACAGAACTGTCAGGGTGAAGAGAAAAAGCCAGCAGGATGGGGAGAGCTGCAGAGCACTGGTGACATAGCAGTGGGGTCTCCTGGGGTGGTGTAAAGGAGGAGAGCAGCAGGCTGGTGGTGCTGGACCCAGCACCCTGCCCAGGGGAGTGGGTGCAAGTTCACACAGGCACAGGCACCCACACACCTTGTGCCTGCAGAGGCTTCTGCTCACCTCTCGCCAAAGGGAGTTTGGGAAAAGGCAGAGGATATATTTATGGAGCTTCTTGGAAAATGGTCTTTGCCAGTGACTTTGAGAGACTTCTGAGAAGGTCTTGTCTGTGCTGGTGTTTCATCTGGGGGCTTCTCTTCCTGTGTGGCAGGAGGGCTGGCTGTGTGTCCCCGCGTGCAGGCTTCCCACCTTCTGCTGGCTGCGGGGAGCAGCTGCACCGCCAGTGAGGAAGCATTTGGCTGAATATCCCATCTGCCTGCTCTGCAAGTGAAAATAAGGCTTGTCCGATGGCCAGCTCCACCCAGAGCAGAAAATCAGACCCTTTGGCAGATCGCTGCTGCTTTAATGAAATTTAGCTGTGCTGAGACTGCCAGTCCTCACATGGGAAACGTCCCACATGGGCTCAGAGAAGTCTGGGGAAAGATTTGTCAGAACTGCTGCTGCCCAGGGTTTGTGGCACTGCCTGGGGACACCCACTGCAGGTGAGCAAGGCCCCGCGGCTCAGCCCACCCTCAGCACTGACTGCACATCATCTTCTCCTTGCAGAGAGTCCCCCGAGCCCTGGAGCCGTGTGGTCTTGCAGAGCCATGATGAAGCTCCTGCCTGTTGCTCCTCTCCTCCTGTTTCTCTTGACAATGCTGGAAGCCAGACCAAAACCTGCAGGTGAGTCCTGGCTGGTGGGGATTGCCTGGAGGAGAGAGAAGCGGGTGTGCAAGGGCAGTGAAGCCCTCCAAGGACAGCTTGCTGGCTGAGGTTGGGAGGGACCTGTTGCCTCTTCTTTGGATGCAAGAGGATGGAGGATCCCCCCCAGGCATGGGACCCAAACTTCCCAGTGCTGCCCAGGGAGCGGGAGCCCCAGCCTGGCCCCAACATGATGGAGCTGGTGCCACTTGCTCTGGGCACATCGTCACCCTTGGCACAGCTCAGCTCAGCTCAGCTCAGGGCTTGTCACCCTCCTGCTCATGGGCTCCCACCTTGGGAGGGGGCACAGAGATGAGAGGTACCCCTTCCTTGCATGGGTCTCCTGAGGGGGAGGACAAGGCCGACCCAGGGGCACCAGCCTCTCTCCTCCCAGGGCAGAGTGGGCTAAATCTGTTCCAGTTTAAAAAGCAGTGAAGGCACCAAATGGAGAAAGGAGCCGGGTGTGTCTCGGAGACCTTTGCACAGTTGAGATGACAACCCAGGTCTGGCATCATCCCAAGGGGACTCAAAGTGTTTGCTTACTGTTAGGGCCAAACTCTCCCAGGCTTGGGAATACACAAGCCAAGCAAAATATGTTCATTGGCATTTCACTTGCTAAACACTCTCCTGGTTTGCACTGGAAGTAGCACCCATATGTCCAAGAGAGGCTCTTTGGCTCGATCCCCGCCGTGTGCGTGCCCTGAGCTGTGCTTTTCACTGTCTCTTTTTCTACTCTTGAAAAAAACAAAGAAACACAAAAAAATCCCCAACAGCACAAGCCCTGGTTTCAGGCAGAGACTGGCAGCTGTGGAAATACAGGGAGCTGGAGCTGGGTCTGGCTGCAGGGACAGTGTTAGGGAGGAGGGGACGCTGCCTCTTCCCCACAGCCCCACAACCAGGACAAGTCTCCCCAGCCTGTCGTCCCTGCTCGCGCTCTGCTGGCACCCTCTGGAGGTTTATTTGGCAGCGGGAAGGTGCTGGTCTGTGGGGGCTGCCTAGACCTGCCCTCTCCATCCCCCACTGAGCACCCCTCAAGTCACCCAGCGGGGATGTCTCCACTCCCAGCCCTGCTCCCTGTGGGCGGCTGTGGAGCTGGACCCTCTCTTTGTCCCCTTCCAGCCCTGAAGTGCAGGACAGGTCCCCTGGACATCGTGTTTGTGATCGACAGCTCCCGCAGCGTGCGCCCCTTCGAGTTCGAGATCATGCGGCGGTTCATGATGGACATCATCGGCAACCTGGACGTGGGCCCCAACGCCACGCGGGTCGGGGTGATCCAGTACTCCAGCCAAGTGCAGAACATCTTCTCCCTCAAGACGTTCTTCACGCGGGCGGACATGGAGAAGGCCATCAACAGCATCGTCCCGCTGGCCCAGGGCACCATGACGGGGCTGGCCATCCAGTACGCCATGAACGTGGCCTTCACCACGCAGGAGGGCGCGCGGCCTCCGCACAAGAAGATCCCCCGCATCGCCATCGTCGTGACGGACGGGCGGCCCCAGGACCGCGTCACCGAGGTGGCCACCCAGGCCCGCAGCGCCGGCATCGAGATCTACGCCGTGGGCATCCAGCGGGCGGACATGAACTCGCTGCGGGCCATGGCCTCGCCGCCGCTGGAGGAGCACGTCTTCCTGGTGGAGTCCTTCGAGCTCATCCAGCAGTTCGGGAAGCAGTTCCAGAGCAAGCTCTGCGGTGGGTGAGAGCCGTGGCTGCCAAACGGCAAGGGTGGCCCTGGTGCCTGCTTCACACCTAGGCTAGATGACCTTCAGAGGGGCGTTTGGGGTGGCTGCCCTGGTTAGGAGAAACATGTACAGGGAAGCAACCTCCCTGGTAGGATGCAAGGACAGGAGGCCTTTCCTATTCCTCCACCTTTCCTCTTCCTCCACCTTTCCTTTTCCTCATCTTTCCTCTTCTTCATCTTTCCTTTCATCACCTTTCTTCTTCCTCACTTTTCCTTCACTCTTCTCCCTCACCTTTCTTCTTCCTCACCCTTCCTCTTCCTTCATCTTGCCTTTTCCTTCATCTTTCCTCTTCCTCACTCTTCCTCTTCCTCACCTTTCCACTGCCGGGGTGAGATCAGGAGTGCTTGGAAACCATTGCAGGCAAGCACTTTTCGTCACCCACACCTGGTAGCTGTTCTCCAAGCCTCATAGCAGCAGTGATGGGAATATTACAGAGCAGGAAACGTGGAGCTGGTGTCCCTGGGTGTGACATGTCCCAGAGCCCAGTACACATTTCGATGTGGCTCTGGCAGGGTCTCCTCCTATGCAGACAGGTGGACAGCATCTGCTGCACACACGTTTGTGTTTAATAAGCCCCTGGCCATGTGGTGCTGCTCTGGAGGGGCCAGCCGGGAGCCAGGAGGCTGCTTCACACTGTGACCGTGCTGGTACCGGTCAAGGGCTCACAGACTGGGCCCTCTCTGTCCCCTCCTGTGCTGGTGGGCTTTGCCAGAGACCTGGTACTGCAGCGGGCTGGGAAGCCCTGGCTCATGGTCTCCTGTGGAAGGGCAGGAGGCAGCTGCCAGCCTCTTTCGGACAGCGTTTCCTAGCCAGGGGCTCGTGCCTGCAGGGCTGTGTTAGTGCTGGGGTGAGTCCCTGCTTCCTGGGGTGGGGGACCAAGGCTGACCAGATATTGTCCCCCCCAGGCCATGATGTGCTCCTGTGCCAAATGCCTTTGCTCACAACACCCTGTCCATTACCTTCCTGCCCTGGTGCCTGCTTCCTGGCCAGCTCTGCAGGCTCCTGACAGCATGGCCACACAGAGCTGGCTCCTTCAGCACGTTTCTGGCTGAGCTCAAGCTTTTGCTTACTCAGCTCAAGCTACTGACAGTATCAATTAATATCGAGTATTAATGTAGTGCTTGGGTAGATTAGAAAGCTGAGGTGGTTCAGAAACCTGCCCCGTGCAGCACCCGTGTCTGTGCACTGGAAATCAGGGGCTGGAAGGGCTGGGGCTGTGTGGGTCATCCCGGTGGCTTTGGCTGCAGGGACAGGGCACATACTGGAGCTGTGGTCCCTGCACATCCAGGTTGCCCGTGGGCCACTGACACCTGTTCTGTCTTGCAGGGGTGAACATGTGCCTGGAGCAGGAGCACGGCTGCCAGCAAAGCTGCGTCAGCACCCCCGGCTCCTTCTACTGCGAGTGCAACCCGGGCTACAGGCTCAACGCGGATGGAAAGACCTGTTCCCGTAAAAACCCTTTCTTTTCATCCTAACTCTTGGGGAGAGCTGGGACTCATGGAGGCAAGCTGAAAAGCAGCAGAGGATCCAGCCTGCCAGCAGCAGCCTGGGTGCTCCCTTCACTGGGCATGCAGCCTGCCGGGTCTGTAATGGCACTGGCTAAATCCTGGTCAGCGAGCTGGGATGGGACACCTGGGGCTTCTGTGGGCACAACCGAGGGAGCTGTGGGCAGTGGGTACCAGCCACCACCCTGCTCGGTGTTTGGGTCCTGCACGTTGAGTGCAAAGCTGTGTTAGGTGGTCTGGCCCCCACGTGGGACTTTTCCTCCTTGTCTCGTGGTGCCGGGAGCTTCCTCGGAGGCCCGGAGCAGTCCCTGCTGGGCTGCCCCGGGGCAGGAGGTGAGAGATGTGCTGTTCCCCCGCAGCCGTCGATGCCTGTGCAGACGGGAGGCACGGCTGCCAGCACCACTGCGTCAGCGCCCGCGGGTCCTACTCCTGCCGCTGCCGCGCGGGCTACCAGCTCAACCACGACAAGAGGAGCTGCTCTAGTAAGTGGCCGTCTCCCTTCCTGTCACTTCCTCATTTGCTTCTCACTCTCCATGTCCTTCTCTCAGTCATCAAGATCATAGAGTGGCTTAGGTTGGAAGGGCCCCTAGAGATCATCTAATCCAGCCTTCCTAGCCTCTCAACTAGACCAGGTTGCTGAAGGTCTCATTCAGCCTGGCCTTGAACACCTCCAGGGAAGGGACATCCACAACCTCTCTGGGCAACCTAGTCCAGAGTCTCACCACCCTTGTACTGAAGAACTTCTTCCTATGGTCCAGCCTAAACCTACTCTTCTTCAGTCTAAAACCATTTCCCCTTGTCCTATAGCTGGACACTCTTTTGACAAGTCCCTCTCCAGCCTTTCTGTAGGTTCCCTGCAGGTATTGGAAAGCAGTTATAAGATCCCCTGGAGTCTTCTCTTCTCCAGGCTGAACAGTCCCAGTGCCCTCAGCCTATCCTCATGGCAGCGATGCTCCAGACCATGGATCAACCTTGTGGCCTCCTCTGGACTCGTTCCAACAGATCTATGTCCCTCTTACGGTGGGGACACCAGACCTGGGTGCAGTATTTGATTATTCTTGTATCTTTCCCTTTCTGCCCACCCTCTCCTTCTCTCACCAGTGATCGATTACTGCAGCTTTGGAAACCACAGCTGCCAGCACGAGTGTGTGAGCATCCCCAACGGGCACTACTGCCGCTGCCACCGCGGCTTCACGCTGCAGCCCGACGCCAGGTCCTGCTGGGGTACGTCCCAGCGCCCCAGCTGCACTCGACGGCAGGTCCCTTTGTGTCCTGCCCGGTCCCCAGGGAAAGGGCTGTTCCTGGACCACCCCCCTGGACAGGGATAACCCCCTGCCCTTGGCTTGTCTTCCAGCCACCGACCTCTGCAACGGGGTGGATCACGGCTGCGAGTTCAAGTGCGTGAGCATGGAGGGCTCCTACCGCTGCGTGTGCCCCGAGGGCCAGCAGCTCCAGGCTGATGGCAAGGCGTGCTCCAGTGAGTACTGGGACACGGCTCGTGGCATCCTCCTCATCCAGGCTCTGGGGTCTGAGTGGGGCTTTGTCTGAGCTGGGATGGAAGGGGTTCGGAGAGCTGACTTGGCTTGGGGGAGAACCCTGGCTGCTGCTGGGGATGGATGTGGGCTCATGTCCTCAGAGAGATGGCCCAGAAGATGATACAGGAGCTTTGAGGAAAGATGGAGGAAAAGGGAGACCTAGAAAAGATGAAAGTCTGGGGCATTCTGGGGAGGCAATGGAGGTTTTGGGGCTGGGACCTGGACATTTTTGCCCCACTTCTCAGCCTCACGCCAGCTGCAGAACCAGGGGGTCCATGTGGTGTCCTGAAGCCCAGCATCTCTCCCTCAGGCTTGGGCACCTTTACCCCAGCGGTGCCCCTGGCCAGGCTGGTCCCTTCTCACCTTCCCCCTGTGCCCACAGAGTGCGGGGCCGGGCACGTCGACCTGGTGATGGTCATTGATGGCTCCAAGAGCGTGCGGCCCCAAAACTTCGAGCTGGTGAAGCAGTTTGTGAACCGCATCGTGGACCTGCTGGAGGTGTCCCCCCAGGGCACGCGGGTGGGGCTGGTGCAGTACTCCAGCCGCGTCCGCACCGAGTTCCCCCTCAACAAGTACCACAGCGCGGACGAGATCAAGAAGGCGGTGATGGAGGTGGAGTACATGGAGAAAGGCACCATGACAGGCCTCGCCCTCAAGCACATGGTGGAGCACAGCTTCTCTGAGCTGGAAGGCGCCAGGCCTCTCTCCCACAACGTGCCCAGAATTGGGCTCGTCTTCACAGATGGACGCTCCCAGGATGACATCTCCGAATGGGCCAGGAGAGCGAAGGAGTCAGGTGGGGAGGTCTGGGGAACCCCAAATGGCAGTGCTTTGGGCATCCCGGGATGGTTCCTCGGGGTGGCTGGCTCTGGGGGAGGCTGTGGTTTCTGGCCTTGGGGTGCTGCATTGGTGGGGTCTGCAGGGGCAGTGCTGTGGTCACAGGGTGCTCTGAGCAGCATCCTTCGGGCAACACCCTGCACCGTGGCAGTGCTGCCGCGCTCCTGCCTGTCCTTCCCAAATTCCTGCCGTGTACTTGGGAAGCCCAGGGGAAATCCTGCATGCTTGGCTTCACTGCCTCTGGGCCTGGGCCTGCTTGGTGCGTGGTGGCCAGCGCAGTGCTCGGGACCTGTCCGTGCCACGCAGGCATCGTCATGTTCGCCGTGGGGGTCGGCAAGGCCGTGGAAGAGGAGCTGAGAGCGATCGCCTCCGAGCCTGTGGAGCAGCACTTCTCCTACTCGGCAGACTTCACCACCATGACCCACCTCGTGGAGAACTTCAAGCTGAACATCTGTCCAGGTGTGTGCCCCCAGCCCTGAGCTGGAGGGAGCCCTTCTCTCCCCACGGGGGTGGTTTGTGTGTCTGACACCCCGTGTCTCATGCCCCGGGGCAGAGCTGGGCTACTGTGAGCCTAGGGTGTCTCTGGATCTCATCAGGCTTCTGTAGGTATAGAGGTGGGTTTCAGGGAGGCATTTGGGAGAGAAGCAGGTGGAGCTGGATGGTTTCATGTAAAAGAGGTGGTGTATGAACATCCACTCCAGTGCCATGGTACTGGAGGCAAACCTGGAGAGGCTGAGGTCTCACCCTGATTTGAGGGATGCCACCCCAGCTCTGCGTGGTCTTCCTCCTTGTCCACACCTGCACTTCTGTTGGTGCTTGGGTGCAGGAGGACCATGATGGGTTACTCTGAGGTCTGCCTGCCCTGGGGAGTCGCAGTGCCCTTGGGACCCCTGTGGGGCTGCAGGTGTGGGGTGAGCAGCCCTCCCTGCCACCCCAGCTTGAAGGCGAAGCACAGCTCAGCACTAACCGTCCTTGGGACACTGTGACCACGTACATGGCAGCTCCATGAGATGCCTGGTGGTGAGCTCACTGGGCTCACAGGGATGCAGCCTGGTGAAAAGGCCTGGGGCTATAAAAAGAGGAGAGAATGCTGGGGAGAGCCCCGAGGCTCAGGTCTGGCCCCAGTGGGTGGCTGTGGGGACAAGGGACTCGTGCTGTGCGGGAGCAGGGCAGAGCTGGAGACCGAGGGGCTGTGGCTCTGACTGCACCCAACCCCCCTGGTCACAGAGGAAGGCAAAGGGGTGATGGAGACCCGCAGCCCCTGCGAGTGCGAGGTGCTGGTGGAGTTCCAGACAAACACCGTGGCCATCCTGCAGAGCCTGACTGAGAAAAATATCCTTTGGGGTGATGCCTGGGCTTGCTGGGTGCAGGGGGGAAGGAGGGATGGATAAGTGGGAGTGGGGGAAAATTTTAGGCTCCTTCAAGGGGAAAAGCCCTTTGCCCACCAGACCGTCTGGCTCATGCTGTTTCCTTAGCACGTTCACTTGCTCAGATGACAGCCAGACTCGAGGACCTGGAAAAGCAGCTTGCCAACAAGAAGTGATCCTTGCAGAGAGCTGCAGTGCTTGGACGGGGCACGGGGACGTACAGGAGCTCCGTGGCATTGTTATTGCTAGGTTATTGTAAAGCATCAGTGTTTGTACTTGTATAGCAAAACCCCCGGGGGGAATGTGGAGCGTATTTAAAAAAAAAAAAAAATCCTTTTAAAAAAACAAAACCCTAAACAACTTGAGCAAAACCCCCGCTGCGAAGCCACGCTGTTCAGCCACCACTGTTGCCTCCTTCCTCCAAACTGGCAGGTCTGGGATGAGGGGGGATGGCTGCCTGGGCAGGCTGGGCTTTGGCTGAGGAGATGTGACACCCAGTGACTGTGATAAACCAGCCCCTGCACAGCCCCCCCAGCCCCCAGTAACCTGCTTTGAGAGAGAAAAACCCCACAGCAATCGCACCCCGACAGCTTCTGCTGCCTCAGCATCTGCTGCCAAGCGGTGGGGCAAGGAGAGCTGGGTGCTGCTGTCAGTGAACGGGGGGTGTCCTGCCCTGCCAGCTCCCAGCAGGGTGCCCAGGTGTGCACCACGGGAGAGCAGGTGCCAGGGACCAGCAGATCCCCTTGCCCTCTGGTTTGGCAGAAGTGTTTGGGAGTCGGTCATTATCTTGTTTGGTTTTCTTATCACATAGCAAAATGGTAATAATTCTTTCTATAAATATTTACATTTGTGTGTATATATATATATTTCATTTGGAAAGCAGGACAGTGCTATTTTTAAACACTTCTTTTATATACAGGAATTTCTAGCCTGACAATAAACACCCTGAAGATTTGTATGACATGTCCCTCTTCTTCTGGCTGGGCTGCGGGGCCACAGAGGCAGCTGGCATCAGAATGGGGGCCTCTGGCTTTCCAAGCCCCTACCCATCCTCAGGCTCCAAAAGTTCTTCCAGGGAAAACTTTGCTCTGTGGGCAAGCCAGGATGCCACAGACCTCAGGCGGAGGGAGCTGGTGTGGCATGGATCATGGATCCCATGTCACCCTTCCCGGTGTCCGCTTTGGAGCCTGTGCTGTCAGAGCACGGGGAGATCAGCACCTGCTTTAGGGGGGTGTAAATGTGCCAAGTCGGTAGTGCAGGGCCATTTACACCGCTGGGGATGTGGCCTCATGCTGGGGGGAGAATGTCCTCCAGTCATTATTGCAGGATCAGAAAGCAAAAGGAAAAAAAAAACAGTTTCGTTTGACACAAACTGGAAGTAGAGGTTCCCCAGTTCAGCAGCAGGGTCCGATGCCTTGTGAGCAGGGCTCTTGTCCTGGCTGCCACGGGCTGGGCCATCTGTAGCCTCATTATATCTGCTTGCTGGGCCAGCAAATGAAGCACCACTGATCAGCCCTGTGCATATCCCGGCTGGCAGCTCCTGTCATCCCTGTAAATCCCTATATAAACTGGGACTTCCCTGATTTGTGTGCAGCTCCATAAAAACACACAGGAAATTAAGAAAAAAACAGAAGAAAGGAAGAAAAAAAAATAAAAGCAAAGCAATTAGCTGAGGCTTGATTAGAGCAGATAACAGCACTCCCCAAGGGCATGATTAAACCTCGGTTGACCCACTGTAATTTTGGCAGATATTAAGGGAAGCTGAAGGCAGAGCAGAGCTGGGCCGGCAGTAGGATGGAGACTGGGCGAGGGCTGGCAGCGTGGCGTGGCTTCGGGGACGGCCAAACACCCGTGGGGAGCTGGGAGGTCCAGGGAAGAGCAGCAGGAGCTGGGCAGCAGCTAAGGTGGGATTCTTCAGGAAAGCATCCCCAGGACAGGCTGTGGGATCGCAGCTGGGAGCAGGGCTGTGTCTGCTGGACCTGCAGAGCCTCACTGGTGGCTTTTCACTAGGTGGCACCAGACACCAGCGCTAATGAGGCTGGGGGCACCCCCTTCTCCCGGAAACCCCCGGGGTGGACCCGGCCGGGGTGAGCGGAGCAGCCTCAGCCACGAGCTGGGGGGGGAGGGATGGATGGATGGATGGATGGATGGATGGATGGATGGATGGATGGAGCTCGGCGCCAGGCTGAAAGCATTGCATTGCTCACTAGGGAACAAGGGCTGCTTGGTGGGGTACAGGGTGGCCCTCAGGTGCTTTGAGCACCCTGCTAAGGCTGGAGCTTGGCCACAGTCAAGCCCTGAGCCAGGGGACCAGCGGCTGCTGGCCTGCCCCCTTGTCATCCCTGGGCAGGATGGATGGATGGATGGATGGAGCTCGGCGCCAGGCTGAAAGCATTGCATTGCTCACTAGGGAACAAGGGCTGCTTGGTGGGGTACAGGGTGGCCCTCAGGTGCTTTGAGCACCCTGCTAAGGCTGGAGCTTGGCCACAGTCAAGCCCTGAGCCAGGGGACCAGCGGCTGCTGGCCTGCCCCCTTGTCATCCCTGGGCAAAACAAAGAGGAGGGCACCAGCCTGGCTGGGACCTCGCAGCATCCTTGGCATTGCACAGCTCAGGCCCGTGGAGGAGGCTCCCCAAGTGCTTTCCACAGAGGAAAGTACGAGCAGTGTGGGATGGGGACTGCAGGAGCCAGGGCCAATGGGTGCTGAAGCAGAGTGCAAAGCAGGGGCTGCAGATGGTCCTGTGCACAGAAATGCCACAGGCTGGGTTATTTGAGGGGAGTTTGCCACAGAAGCAGATTTTAGACTTTTTTCCTGTGGACTTGCTATAAATAAAGCACTACCAAAAGTCCTTCAGGTGGATTTCTTCCCCTCCCAACTTCTCTGCAGCTGAATCCAAGATTTGCTCCTTGGGGCTGCACCTCCAGGAGAAGCGGAAACACCAAGAACCACCTCAGCCAGATCCTGGCACCAACTGGGAGCACAGCACCATCCTCTCCAGCCCTGGCAGCAGCTGATTGTGAAAGGATTGCCTAAAAATTAATCCAATGCTTGTATTTCTTATTAAAAGTGCTAAATTGTTGGTGCACAGCCCAGAAAGCCTATCTGGGTTGGCCAAACACTCCACGGGTTATCTAACAAATGCATTTACAAAGAGCTAAACACAGCCACAAAATAATTATTGTCCAGTTTCCCCAATCAACAGACATTCAGTAGGATAAGGTCCACTTAACGTGGCACATCGAGGTATGAGAAGGGAAGTATGGGTAGCAGGGGGCATGATGAGATGCCCACCATGCCCTGGATGGAAAGTGGGTGCTCCAGGGCTGGGGCAGAGCAATGGTGGGGGGCTTGGGGTCTGCATGGAGCAGGTAGGGGCTATGCCTGGGCTTCTGCAAGGAGCACCCTGCCCTGCTCACTTGTGAAATCAGGTGCTGCCCCAGCCTGGCCTTTGAGGAAGGACAGGGTGTTTGCTTGCAGGGCACCTTCCCCCCTCCCAGGACTTCCCAGCTCAGCTCAGATTTCTGTCAGTCACAGAAATCCCCAGGAAAGTCTCCAGGAACCTGTTACACAAGGCGAGTGGGACATTGACCCATTGGTGGGAAATGGAGTAATTTCCCCTTTCCCTAGAGCACCTAAAGAAAATACCTTTGCCCAGAACAAATCATGTTAGGGAGCAGATGGAGGCCTGAAGGCTCCTGAGATCTTTGCCCTCTGAGCAAGGACAACAGCCCCTCATCCCAACAGCCATCAAGAGTTAGGGCTTGGCCACACCAGGGATGTTGGGCTAATGACAGGGCTGTGTGGAGCTGGTGCTCCTACCCCATTGAGGCCAACCACTTCCTTCCAACCCCAACCTGCTTCCTGCATGGCAGTGGGCACCCAGAGAAGATGCTGGGTTCAGGTGACACACACCCACCCACCCCCATCCTCATACCTACCCCCTGGGCTTGGGAAGGACTCACTCTTGCCTAAGCCAGAGCTCCTTTCCCCGCACCCACTTACACCACCAGTGGGGCAGGCGCAGGAGGGCTTGGGGTTGGGGCAGGTTTCCTCTGGGAGAGCCTCAAAGGATCATCCCTGGGAAGGCACAGGCAGCCACATGCTGATTGGGTCATGTTGTGAGGTTTGGTCTGCAGGTCCATGTGGAAGCAAGGCACAGAGAGACAGCAGCAGGCCCGAGGTGGTAGAGCTGCTATCTCCTGGACAGGCATGCTTCTCCAGAAGGTGCTGTCTTGGTGACCACACTGTGTTCCCTTCTGGGGGTCTATTGTCTGGGTTTCCCTCTGTGCCTTGCTTCCACATGGACCTGCAGAACAAACCTCACAGCACGGTCCAGATCAGCGTGGGGCTGCCCTGGACCATCTCCCCTGGGCTTGTCGCTCAGCTGCAGTGCGGCTGCAGGAGACAGTTGTGCAATGGAGGAACTTTTTTTTGAGCAATTGAACAATGCCCTTTTGTTTCTTGTGCAAAAGACTTCCGGAAAACACAGTGTAACAGCAGAGAAAAAAGG